CGTGCTGCGCGAGTTCCCTCATCTCCTCTGCGAGGCGCGCGGCCGTCTCCTCGTTGCAGCGCGCGGCGCGCTCCTCCCAGCTCTGCTTGGTGGCGGCGGCCAGCGAGCGCCACTCGTTGCCCACGATGCGGGATATCTCACCTGATATTATACACTATTTAAATACTATGTTACAAAATATTAGAAACGGAAGGAGTGATGGGTAGTTTCAAAGACTTTGCAAGGAGTGAGTCCTTAGTCCCTCAGTTGCACTCAGTCGCTCAGTCGCTAACAAGCTCTCTGGTCCTCAGTACCTCAGGAGGTCAGTAGCTCAGTATATTTCTAGTTGTCACGGCATGTTCGATATCTTTTACGTAGTTGCCTTATTATTTGTTTTAAAGTAATTCGCCAGTATTGCTCATATTATCGCTGGACTGTCATATTTTAAAAAAAAATCATTTGTATCGACATTTATAATGCATATAATAAAATTGGAGTGTTTGTAAAATCAAAGGAAAAATTCAAGATATCGGGAAGATTGTGTTGCTGATAACGAAAATCGCATTTAAATAATATATTATTATATCTATACTAATATAATAAAGCGTAAACATACACGACTTTGTCGCGTGTTTTTGAATAATTCTTTCTTTAATATAAAACCCTACACTTACGACATGCTTTAGGCTATATATTTTCACACTATTAAAGTTAGGGGTAAATAAATTAAAAAAAAAACATTCTGTGGGAAAGCGACCATAAACTACAAGTTGCCATCATTAAGGTATTGTTATTATGGTAACGGTAATTTTGACATTTGTAATTCTGAATTTGTAAATGTAAACAATAAAATAAAATTAATTGTTTCATGCGGATGAAGCCGCACGGGAACAGTTATTAAATAATTCATACCAAAGGTGGATTCCGGGTTATTAGCGACGATAGCTTTGCGGACTTCACTGGAGTACAATATATATCCTGTGACTATCTTCTGCTTCTGTTCTTTCTTCTTCTTGCTGGTAGCGGGCGTGGTCGCGGGGTTGGAGCGCTCGTTGCTCACCGGCGTCATCGATGGATTGTATGGGTTACTGTTGCCACCTGGAAATTACAAAAAATGCAATATAAAGTACGGGTAAAAAAAATCAAATAGTTATTCTCCCATCACATTTACTATAAAAAAACTTCTATAGATTTGTATTTTTGTATGCAACTAACTGTTGCACGTGACTTCGCCCGAATAAAATACATAGCCTATGTGATACACTGATACGTATTAGTAGGGTAGGTAGGCTACGTATTGGTATAGCTATTTAATGGTGAAAGAATTTTTAAAATGATCGCGGTAGTTTTTACGTTAATCAAATACATACAAAAATATTTTTTTTTCTTTATAATATTAGTATAGACGAATAAACTCAAAAACTATTACAAAGACAAAAATCCTTTTGCTAGTAAGCTACACATTAACCAACAACTTTCGCATTTATAATATACTAATGTTATAAATGCAAAAGTTTAAATGGATGGATGGATGTTTGTTATGGATTGTAGCCTAAACTGATTAACGGATTTCGATGAAATTTGGTATGGATGTAGTGGATAATCTGGAAGAACACATAGCCACATTTTTTTTTAATTCCATGCGGAGTCGTGGGCGAAAGCTAGTAGTATAATTTGAGGGTCATTTTCAAAAGATAACTTATTTAATTTTTGCAATGAGAAATGTCATACTTTTATCTGTCTTTTTATGTGTATATTTTAACAGTACTTGTTGATGTTAAATTATTTTTTTTTTTGACCTTTATTCTATTGCAAACTTTGCTAGATTAAATACACCTTATTCAAATAAGTATAAAGTAGTATTTACCGATGGAGAGCGGCGTTGCCGGCGAGGCCATAGAAGAGTCGTCGAGAGAGTTCTCCAGTATCATCTCCACATCCTGGCTACCGATCGTCGTGTTGATGAGGTTGGTGAACTGCGGCTTCCCGTCCTGGAAACAGTCGGGAATGATTATCAATAAAAAGGATCAAAAAAGAATTATACATTTATCGAAACGAAAAATGTTAACTTTTGCACGCGACTCCGTCCTCGTAGAATTAAAAAAAACATAAGTAAGTAGCCTATAAGTTCTTCCAGACATGTGTAGAATATGTCTGGAAATTTATATTGGCTATACATCGAGGCCAAATATCATCCAGATCTGTTCAGCAGTTTAGGCTACAAACTTTAAAAAACATCCATCCATCTAAACTTACGGATTTATATGAGTACGATTATAATACTGTTTTCAAAGTAATATTAAATAAAAAAAAGGGAGATAGTCTTGAAGAACACAGATTAGATATGTGTTCTTCCAGTTTGCGTCCTATGTACATTTATAATACTAGTATGACTAAAATTTGCTAAGAGTAGTGCAAGACAACGTTTGAGTTGGCACGTCGGGCAGAAGAGGACTCTTGTTAACGACGTGCCAAATGAAATACATACCATTGAATCAATATTGATGTTGGGGTTAAATGGTTTCTGTGTGAATGCGGTAGAGGTGGAATGCACCTCCTGCGCGGAAGCCAGCGCCGGCGGACCCAAAGGCTTCGGGAAGAAGTAAATCTGAAAACATATTTATTACTAATTATATTGACGAAGAAAAAATCTATTTTTTTACGAAACATGACGAAGTAACTGTTCCCGTGCTTCACCCGCAATTTACTTACTCCCTAAGTTAAGTAACTAAGTAGTGTGTGTTTACGATTTATTACACACTGTTATTTTTATTCCAGCGAGTAACATGTACATATAACCAAATACAATTGCAAACCAGATGTTATCTATACTTATATTATAAAGTTGAAAGATTTGTATTTTTGTATGTATTGGAATAACCAAAGCTTTTTAAAAAGATTTAAAAAGATCTTTCACTATTAGAAAGGTAATTTATCTATGAGTAAGATAGGCTATTTATTTTAATAAGATTATTTATTACTAGCTGTTGACTGCGACTTCGTCCACGTAATATTAAGATAAAAAAGTAGCCTATAACATATCTGTCAATGTCAACTACGCTTCAGTGAAAGTCCGGTCCAAATCGGCCCAACCGTTTCGGAGATTACCCGGAATAAACGCAACTTGCGGACAGACAGAAAGAGCGACAAAAAAAATTAAATGCGATTTTTGTTGTCAGAAATGTTGAAATCTAGAATTTTTCCTTTGATGTTACAACAGACACACCAATTTTATTATCTGTATAGATAAGATAAATAGATATATTTATTTTAACAATTACATTAGTCTAAAAGAATAGATGAATACAAATAATTAAAAAAAAATCTCACCTCATCAACAGTAACATCCTTAGTGTGCTCAAACTTTCTTAGTCCAGTCTTTAATTTGCGCGCCACGCGACTGGACTCGTCGTACACAGACTCGCACACAAACACGTCGTTCTCAGATATCTCTGTAGGTCGACCTGCAACGCAAATATAATTATTAAACCATAATTATCGTTATTTTAATACTAGATTTTGCCCACGACTCCGTTAGCGTAAAATTAAAAAATATAAAAGTGAGTAGCCTATGTATTCTTCTAAATTGTCTTCTAAGCCTATGCCAAATTACACCAAGATCCTTTCAGCCGTTTAGGCTACAAACTCTAACAAACATCCTTCCATCCATCTTATCTTTCACATTTATAATATTAATAAGATAACTTTGCTAACGACTTCGTCCGCACAGAATTAAAATAAAACTTGTAACTTATGTCCTTACTAATATTATAAAGCGTAAACACACTACTTAGTTGATGTCAGCAATCATAGTAAATTTTTGAATAAATATATTTTATTAAAATACTTACACTTAGGACACGCTTAGACTATATATTTTAAATTGTAACTCTACGTGTGGAAAAGGGACAAAAGCTACAAGCCAACAGTATCAAAGAAGCAAGATTCCCATGTTAATAGTTATTTGAATTTTCACATTTGCAATTAAAAATCTCACAGGAAACAAGAAAACATTTTTTATAATGTCATACTCTCTAATAGCTCTTCAGAATAAGATTTTATCAATGGTACTAGAGTACTTACACTTTGTACCTAATTTGTAATATCAATTTAAACTAATATTAGTATCTATACTATTATAATAAAGCGTAAACACACACTCCTTTGTTGCCTAAGATGTCAGTAATTACAGCATATTTTTGAATAATACTTTTCTTAATAAAAAGCCCTACACTTACGTCTTGCGTATTTTCACGCCATTAAACTTAGGAGGTTAATAATTTGGATGAAAATCTTATTGTGGGAAAGAGACCATAAGTTGCTCCAAGGAAGCACGATTGCCAAGTTTTGTCATTTCATTTTGACATTTGCAACTGACTATTTGACACATGTAAACAATAAAATAATTTTATGGTGATGAAATCGCACGGGAACAGCTAGTATCTATCTAAACTAATATTAGTATAATAAATATAGAATTGTTATATCTTACATTTGAGGTAATCATCGTAGTCGAGCACAGCGCACTTGCCCACGATGCCCACCAGCGGACTTGTATCGTGCATCGTCGTTAACAATACTTCTTGCTTGTAGAACGGCTGAAAATAACACATTTTATTGTTTATTTATGTTTAGCTAGCTTACGCCCGCGACTCCGTCCACGTGGTATTAAAAAAAACAGAGTAGGATATGTGTTCTTCCAGACTACCCTTTACATATATGCCTAATTTTATCGAGGTCCGTTAAGCAGTTTAGACTACAAACTCTAACAAACATCCATCTATCGATCTAAACAATCGCATTTATAACATTAGTATGAAGTATGATTTATTACACTATGATATTTAAAATGTCTTAATTAAAAAGTATATTTAAAAGCTGGTGCACGCGACTTAATCTGCGTGAAATAAAAAATAAGAAAAAAAATAGAAAAACAATGAGTAGTAAAGTATACTGTCAGTCTGTACTTTAGTCAGTAAATTGAAAATATTTAACATACAATAAAAAATAAATTACCTTGTTGATAACATTCGCGACTTCAGCGGGAAAGATGAGGAAAGGTCCGCGGAAGTAACATTTGTTACTGAAACAGAAAAAACCATAATATTACATGTCAAAAAACCAATATATAAAAAACCAATAATATTATATATTCGTACGCGTGAAATAGTCCGTAACTTACTGTTAATGTAGCTTTTTAATGGTGAGAGTTTATGAAATCCCCTTAGCAGTTTTTGAGTTATTTCAATACATACAAAAATACAAAACTTTCCTCTTTATAGTAATACTAGCTGTTGCTCGCGACTTTGTCCGCGTGAGATTAAAAAATAACAAAAAAGCGTATCCTATGTCACTCGTTTATAACGTAGGTTTTATTGGTGCATGATTTTTTGAAATCGGCTCCGTTGTTTTTGAGTTATTTCAATACGTATCAAAAATACGTAATAAAAATACAAATCTTTTCTTTTTATAATTTTAGTATCGAAGTATATGAATATATATACTGACTCTCCCGTCTCCCATATAGTGTCGACTTGGGCTATCATCTGCTTGCCGCCATCAGTGACCACGTACACGTAGTCGCCGGTCTTCACGACGCCGGAGCACACCGTGTTGTACTGCTCGTAGTACGTGTTCTCGTCGTCCGTGCCCAGCGGATTGTACATCACTACGTCCTGGAATACAACAGACACATTCTGCACATCACTACGTCCTGGAAGACAACAGACACATTCTGCACATTAGTCATGGAATACAACAAATATATTGTGTACATCACTATGTTCTGGAATACAGCATAACACATAGTGTATTTCTATCACAATAACAACTCAAAAAAAATAGTTTTAAAATTAAAATCCATAACTGTTTTAAAAAATTAACTTACACATAAATTGAGAACCTCCTACAAGGATCTTATAGCAGTTAGAATTTTTGTGAACTAATAATGTAATTTCAAAGGGTCATATTTTACCAATGAAGGAGCGCCAACTGCACTGGACAATGTCGGCAATTTTGAAATTCTATTTAGAAAAAAATTAAAAAATAGTTTGGTTTTGTTTTCAACATGGGAGAATTTCGAAAAAAGGTGGGAAGTTTTTATTTATGATGTCCAGGAGATCCTTGTAGGACTATACTATACTAGAAGTTACTTACTGGTCTATCTTTCTCCTGTATATTCTCCAAAACCTCAAGCTCTGCTAATTCGTCTTTGTGCTTCTCCACACGCTCCCTGAACACTGACACCGTCCTGTTCGGCTCTAAGGGCACCTGCACACAACACAATCACACATTAATTATTATTTAACAGATATAGTCATACAGAAAACTAACTGTTGCTCGCAACATAGTCTTCGAATTTTAAAAAAAAAGTAAAAATATAGCCTATAATATAAATATTGAAATCAGCCCAGTAGTTTTAGAGTTATTTCAATACATACAAAAATACAAGTCATTTCACTTTATAATATTAGTATAGAATAGTATAGATAAAAAACTGAGCTGTTCTAAAATAAATCTTAAATTAAATTAACTTACATCTCTTTGTATGAGGGTGACCTCCTTTTCCGCTCCCTCCCACACTTTGATCTTCTTGAACGTTCTATACTTGGTGCTGTACCGACTCTCGCACACGTATACGTCCTTGTCCGCATATCCTGGATAACATTTTTAAATATCACTTCCACATATTGCTTCCACTTCACGCCTGTCGGCACTTAGAACTTAAAAACATATTTTATATTTTACTTATATTAATAAAAATAATTAAGTCTAAATTTATGTTTTTGTGTTTTTTTTTTAATATTAACGACATTATTTACGCGAGAATACGACTAATTAAACACACGTCACAATAGAATGAAAATAAAAGAGATAGGACAACGCCTATCTCATCTCAAATCTCCTTTAAAGACAAACTTTAAACGCAATTTCACAAAAAACATAGATCATCAGTTAATTATTTTATAAATAAAGATACAAGATTTTAACGGTGTTAGAGCTCGCTTTAACATCTTCGCACTGCAGGGCCGGCTCGCCCCCAGCAATACCACGACCACACAGAAAACAGGCGTGAAATGGAAGCAATTCCGTGTTTCGTCTGATGAGTGTGGTGCCGAAGGCCTAATTTTAGTCCCTTTCCCTTTCCACCCTTTTCTTAAGAGGAAAAGATAGGAAGTAAAAGTGGATTTTATGGTGGAGACGCATAGGAAGGGGAAATGTCCTTTTTATGTACCTCTCCTCCGTCAATTAAGGGTAGGCAACGCTGCAATTGCGGATGTTTATAGGCAGCGGTCGCTTTCCATTTCAGTGGATTCAGGTAGCCACTTGCTCGTTTGTCACCTTATAATATAAAAAAAATGCAAAGTATCAAATTCACCTTCAGGTCTGAACTTGAAGTATTCCTTAACATTCATAACGTAGCAGCGTCCTATGACCTGGTCGAGCGGCACCGCGCGGTGAGTCTCCGTCTTAAACACTTCCTGTTGCAGGAACTTGCGCGTGCGCACATGGAAAGTATCTTGAGGCCTGGAAATACGTTTTATTTTTTATCAATTACTAGTTATATAAAATTGGTAATAATTATATCCTATATTACTTAGTAACGTAGCTATTTATCGGTGAAAGAATTTTTGAAATAGGCCAAGTAGTTTTTTAAGTTATTTCAATATGTACGAAAATACAAATCTCTCCTCTATATATCATAATATTAGTAACTTATACAAGAGGAAAAAAACAGCTGTGCAAGGGACAAAAATGGCAGTATAAAGCATGTTTACTGTAGTTACTTAAATTCTCAGCCAATAAAGAGGCCTTCATAATCAAATGTGCATTTAAATTGGACATTTGCAATTAAAAGTTTTACTGAATGTAATTAACAAAATAACGTTTATAACTACTCCCTATGCAACTAGCTGTTGCTTATGACTTCGCTTGCATGAAATTAAAAAATAGAGAATTAATAGAAATTCATAGCCTATGTATGACATACAGCGAAAAGGTAGCTTTTTAATGGTGTAAGAATTTTTGATATCGGTCTAGCACTTTTTGGGTTATTTCAATACATACAAAAATACAAATGTTTCCTCTTTATATAGATATAGGTAGTATAGATTACCTGAAGTAAATATTGCAGTACATCATGGGAATACCCTCGTTGTTCGTCCAGACTCGTTCTACTAGCATAATAGAGGGTGGTTCCTTGTTGCTCTTATCAGGCTGTATGTAGACGAAGTCTCCCTTGTTGTACTGCGTCTTGAGCGGCGCCGCGCCCGCCGGCATCGACTCGTCTGTACTTGACCTGTGGTAGAAGTTAAAAAAAAATTAAAACAGACTTTAAAACAAAACAAATTGAGAGTAATTTAAAAAAAAAGTGGAACCGAATGTCCGAATGGAAACGGATTCGTTTTACGATTGTGTTGGTATTATTTATGATTGTCCACAATCCCCGACTATCGATCGATTTAGAAACCACTTCCCTCTTTTTCAAGTCGGTTAAAAACTCGTCGCCACATGTCTGTTTATGGTTAAACACTCGACTTTTAAGGGCAGAATGCCGCCATGTACTAATGTAATTTTCAATTTACTAATTTCATATGTCCACACACTTAGCCAACTCTGGCCTAGTCTGACCTGGTCTCATCCTCGTCGTCGTTCTCCTGCAGCAGCTTGCACTGCTTGACGAGCTCGACGCTGGTGGCGATGGCGTCGCGTGTGAAGGCGAGCGCGGGCGAGAGCAGCGTGCCGCGGCACAGCAGGTCGCGCTGCTCCGTGTAGTACGTCTGCAGCTCCACAGAGTCCTCGAAGATCTGGCTGTCGGTGCGCGACAGACGACGAGCCCTGCCATAAAACATCACTTTGTAAACTAAAAACATCATTAAAACTTTCGTGAGACATTATCCTGGGCCGATTTAAAAAAATCTTTTTTAATAAAAATACCTAAACTTGCTTTAGTCTATATATTTTCATGCTATTAAACTTAGGGGAAAGGGAACATAAATTTCAAGCTGCCAACATCAAGGAAGCAAGGTTGCCATGATTTATCATCAT